CAAACACCTCCACTTATTTCTTTTTAAAAGCCGAAACATGTGCAAGTTTGCCAATTGCATGCTAAAATTGCTCTTGGATATACCGTAAAACCTCGAATAGAAGCCCAATGGGCTTAATTTCGAGAAGAAGCCTATCTAGAATTGAAGCCACCTCTTTAGTTTGGAAACCCATGGGCTTCTTTTCAATATAGCATTGTGTATTTTTTCGAGATAGTAAAACAGTACATACATGACACAGATTGATGTTACAGTGGCCATATATATTGTTTTCTAGTAATTCCCAAAATTTACAGCATTCAAGCCCATCCAAATTTCACAAAAAAATGAAAGAAAAAGTCCAGGGCTTAAATTTGATACAGTAGGTCTATAGGTCCTACTGTCCTACTGTCCTACTGTTTGCAAAGAAAAAAAAAGCCTTGACGGTAAGTCTCCTAAATTCTTTATTGTAATGCAATCTTCGTTTTTGGTGATATATTCTTTTTGTTAACCTTTTTCCTTTAAGGAAGAATATTATCTTGAACAAGAAAGTGACAACCATTGACCAATCATCTGGTGATGTCGTCGTGGTTACTTGTGACAACGGCGAGATCTTCAACGCGTCACGGGTCCTGGTTACTGTCAGTTGCGCCATACTACAAAACAATGGAATTGAATTTATACCAGATCTTCCTGATTGGAAAATCAGAACTATTAACCGATTTCGCATGGCGTCTTACAGCAAAATATACCTTAAATTTCCTATAAATTTCTGGGGAGACCGTGAAATATTATTACGTCCCAGCAACCACAGGGGACGGTATCCGATATTTACAAATTTTGAAGCAAAAGGTAAGTTATTATTTTATAGGCTTTATATTATTATTATTCGTTTTTTTTTTTTTTTTTTTTTTTTAAATTCTTATCTTCGTTATTGTGTGTATTTAACTAATCCTACCACAACAGCCATTTTGGACACAAATAAAATAGACAATCATTTAAGCCTACTAAACATAATTTATTTAATTTTAGTTTTCTTTCGAATTAAATCCCCTTTTACCCGATTTCTGTTCAAAATTCTGAACAGGTCTTTGTAATAGTATTAGAGGCCTAAATTCCTAGTTTGGTTAATACCTCGTGGAGTTATTATTGTTGTTGTTAATAATATTATTAATATTTTTCTGTTAATACTAATATTAACACATACTGTTAAGGTAGGCTTAATTGACCATAAGGGTTACCGTTTTGCGTAATTATACCGGATTCTGTAATGAAATATCGTAAACATTGTTTTTCTAAACGTTATTGCTTTTCAATTCTAACTTCAATTTATGGCATTCCCACTTTTCAACTTCTTTTTTCATAGGTTTGTTTCCAGTCGGAACAAATATTTTAATGGCAGAACTTACTGGTGCAGAGTCTCTACGAGTTGAGGCTCTGGCAGATGAAGCCATAAAAGCCGAAATCGAAACTGTGCTACGTGAAATATTTGGCGAGGATACACCAAACGCAACGGATATACTCGTATCTGGTTGGTCGCGAAATCCCCTGACTTTAGGAGCATATTCTATTTGGCCACCCGAAATGGAGCAGGAATGCTTCGTAAAGATGCAATCACGGGTAAATAATGTCTTTTTTGCCGGAGAATATACCAGTGAAGATAATGGTTTTGTTCAAGGTGCCCTCGAAAGTGGAGAAAGAGAAGGGATTAAGATCACCTTGTGTCGGAATAGAAGCTCATGTCCGCATTGGCCTGCCAATCAATCTTGTTTTTGTGGCCCGCTAATCAATCTTGACCATAATACCGCGACGATGATAGCCGTAAAATACAAACTATTATTCATTTCATTATTAATATTATTTACAATAAATGTGTTTGATACTATAGGCCTACATATACTCTAGATTTAAATGTTTGTATCTTATGTACACCCCATTGGCGGCGGGATGTTTTTCAAAGTTGGGGGCGGGGGGCATTTCATAAAGTCCAGTATGCGATCGAAGTGAGCATTTACGCTGGGGGCCAGGGGGACGCCAAGCACCCCCGATAGGGGTATTTGACGAAATTTTGTGAATTTTATTAGTTTTTTTCATAGGCATCTAGCTACACTGTAATATGACTTAATTTCCAGTGGCGCATCCAGGAAACCAAAATAGAGGTGGCCCGAGGGGTACTTTCACAGATGGAGGATCTATACCATCCCAGCCACGATAGTTCCGAAAAGAATTGTTTTAAACTACTGTGTTTTTTTTATGTGTACATGTTACGTCTCATAGGATCGTCTTTGGAGTTCCTTTCAACTATAGAATTTTCTCAATATTTGTTGAAATATTGTTTAAAAAAGCTTTGTATTTTTATGGTCATAAGGCTGAACCATTCAATTAATGAAGAGCGTGTGAGGAGTTGGGAAGGAGAGGTAGGTTCTAGCCTGACAAATTTACAATAAAGAGTAAAGCATTAAGGCAAGTATTTGTGTACTGTCAACTTTTCTTACCTGTTCCTATTTTCTCTTGGGTCCAAAGACAGTCTTGGCTCCAGCNNGAGATTAAAAGGCAAAATAAGATGTGTATAAGAGACAGATCTAGGAAGGTGCGCGGGGGGCCCCACCCAAAAATCACTTGTAAGTAGTAAAAATCACCTAAAATCACTTTATTTTGCGAGTTAGCGCCCCTGAACTGATCGTCGAGCCCCTTCACCTTCGCTCCCCACATCAGCACCCCCATTTAAAGACTTCTAGATACGCCACTTGTGTAGGGTGGGGGTGGTGGGGTGGGGATCCAAAGATATCAATTTGCCTATCCAAAACGTTATTTTAAACGTCAGTCTCTAATATTGTGGTCTTAAAAGCAAAAAAAAATAAATGAAAATTTCCTATTCCGGTACCCTGATCGATGATAGTCTAGTAGTCCTTTGC